ATTCATTTATCTTTCTATATATATTTTTGATTGGTTGAATGAAAGCATTAATTAATGAAAGCATTTTAATCAATTGATTGATAATTGCTTAATTAATTAATTTATTTATTTTTATTATTTATTTAGATTTATGAAATTATTTATTTTGTATTTAGATAAATTTATAACGCTATAATAATGATAACTGTGTTGTTTTAATCAGTGTAAGCATTGCGTTCGGTAATACACACATGACAAAAATTAACTGCTTGTAATTCCGAACATGCAAATAACTCAGTAAATAAATATCTAAGTGACATATTGAGTTATTTCCCATATCACAGTACATGTTTTAGTTTCACAAATAACAAGAAACATGTGACTTATCAAAATCACGTGACCAGATAACCTTATGACGTCAAGTATCTAAAATTAGAATATTTGTAACGGAGTACATACTTGTCAAGCGTAGTAGTATTTTAGTCTTGGAAATCTTTGCTTTGTCAAGTATCACGTTGGCAATATTACAGATATGTCGGGAAAGGAAGTGACATCATGTTTCTGATGTCACTGCCTTATAAGGAGAACATTAAGAAGGTTATGGTGGAAAAAAATTGTGTTCGGAAATACACGCACGTTCGGTAATACCCACACCGCTCTATAATAAATAGGAAAACATGTCGTAGATAACAAAGTGTATTGTAGACACAGCTAAATATGCATATCTGTTTTCAGTAGCGTAGCCGGGCATACGCCAGTACGCCGTAGGCGTACTAAACGAAAATGAATTTTAAAAAATCAAAAAGTCTTAAATGTTGAAAACAGTAGTCCAAATCAGTACCCTAACCCGTGTTAGGCACCGCCGTGAGTTTTGACGGAGAAAAAAGGATTTGCTGACAAAAAATATTTTGTTATTAAGCGATTTAAATAGTGTATCGGTATTTTTGTTGCAAGTGTAGAACAGCTAACTAGTACCTAGGTAGATCTAGTACTATAAGACAGTGTCATGCGTATTGACTTGTTTGTATCTTATCGTAGAATCCTATTATATTCCGAATGTTGTTTACATAAGAAGTTATACTAGCGGGAAAAATCAAATGGCGTCCCAACGTAAAATGTCCGAAGAACATGAGCCTCCTTATGTTGATATTTTCAACTGCACCATTTTAAACGATGAGTTGAAAGTCACTTTATTAAAGTCAGATAGGCCTGATGTCCATAAATATGCATTTAAATCGAGGTATATTTATGCAGATCAAGAAATTTAAAGTAGGTAAAATAATGCAATTTATCATTAAATCATATTCAAATGTATTTTTTTCTTTCAAATTACATCAAATATTATTATATTTTATTTTTAACTAGATCTATAATAAAACTGAAATATAAAGTCATTTTTAAACGTTGTCTAGGGCGTACGGACGAAGCTACCTTTACCAGGGAAGTGAGAAAGTTGGTTACATGGTGGACAGATGGAGCACTTGCGTTGGACCGTCCACAAGCTCCTGATACACTTCTAGGAACATTGCCACTGGCTAATGAGCAGTACTATCCCAATGTCCGTCCTTGTTTGTTAGTACTGCTCACTATGCCAGTGTCTACGGCTACAGCTGAACGATCGTTCAGCACCATGAAGAGATCTACCATGACTACAGAGCGGCTGTCTGGGCCTGGCCTCATGAATATTTACAGAGACATGAAAAATTATTCTGAGTACATAGTTGACAAATTTGCTGCAAGAAAACAACACCGCCTTGCATTTGTCTTCAGAGAATAACCATATCTGCATAGATATCACATACCCGTGCCGATTTTGCGACTCCGTAAAAATGGTATTGCACTGGCATAATTATATTTTGACAAGACATCATTTGCGTTACATAAACATAACGCTAAGATGCGCTAAATGTTAGTGTTATTCTATAGGCGCTTCAATGAAAAATGTTTCTCTATCACTTCAAACGGTCTTTGTTTTTGCTGTGTGATAAATAGAATATTAAATGCGTGTAAGTTTATTGCTTAATTTATTGAACGTGTTGAATAAAATATTATTATGCTAGCCAGAGGCTCACATAATATCATTTTATTCAACTCGTTAAATAAATTCAGTATTAAACTTACACTCTTTCAATATCCTTTATTTATTACATAAGAAAGAAATTAAATATGTTGTCAAATGTCTCCAGATTGCGTTATTTTGCATCTATAAATCCAAATTTTCTCGGGGGAAGTCCCCCGAACCCCCTTCCATTTACAAAGGGAGGATGATACCCCCTCCCTTAACTCGCCAGAGGCTCACATTATACATGATTTTATTCAACTAATTAAATAAATTTAGTATTAAACTTACTCTCTTTCAATATCCTCTATTTATTAGATAAGAAGGGAATTAAATATGTTGTCAAATGTCTCCAGATTGCGTTATTTTGCATCTATAAATTCAAATTTTCTCGGGGAAAATCCCCAGAACCCCCTTCCTTTTACAAAGGGAGGGGGACACCCCCCTCCCTTTACCCGCCAGAGGCTCACATAATATATGATTTTATTCAACTCATTAAATAAATTTAGTATTAAACTTACACTCTTTCAATATCCTCTATTTATTAGATAAGAAGGGAATTGAATATGTTTTCAAATGTCTCCAGATTGCGTTATTTTGCATCTTTAAATCCAAATTTTCTCGGCGGAATACCCCCGAACCCCCTGCCATTTAAAAAGGGAGGGGGCCACCCCCTCCCTTAACCCACCCCCAAGGCGTATAATTACATTTGGCCGCGCTACGCCACTGGTTTTGATTATATTTTGTAAATATACTCGTAAAAGCCTGAAGCCTTTTATTTGCAAAATAAAATGTTGTTGTTGTAGTTGTTTAATAGGATATTAACTGATTATATTTCGAATTGAGAAGTATATAAAGATATATATGCACTAACAATGTTTTAAAAAAAAGACTCATAGAAGTAATTAACTTAAGTATGAAGGAACGGGTTTTGTGAAACTATGGATAAACTTGAAATCATTTGTGGGTGACCGTTCGTCATACTGATTAAAAGTAGCAATGCACTTGTAACAGATACTATTATATCTGTGATACTATGTAGAATTCCGATTCACATAATTATATATATTTAATACACTTGTTACTATATATAGTAACAAAATTGCCTATGATTTCAACTGATTATGAGTGTCACGTGACCTATTATGAGTTTGCAGCCCGGGGCCGAGAACTAGTTATCAGCCCGCAGAACATGTGCACGTGCACAAACTGAAACAATGACGTCATATTTTACGTCATCAAACAGTTAACTGTAAAAGTGAAAGTAGGTTGTCAGCACGAATTGCTTTATTTTTATTATGAGAGCTTAAGCGTATTTAGTACAAACACATTTTTGTTACTATTGAAATTTGAAGAAATAATATGACAAATTCATTCCGAAAAAAATGAAAATAAAACTTGCTTCTAGATTCTACTGCTTTCAACATACAAACAGTAAACATCTCTGTACAGCACAGTAGAAGAGTAGACAAGAATTTCAACGAAAGAACTTTGTTGTTGTATTATTAAAAAAAATGCTACTATTACATCTACAAAGTATATTAAAGACATTAATACACGTCAGAGTAGGGCCGGGAGGTGATAATCGGCCCTGAATGAATAATGGCCCTCGGGCTAAAGCCCTCGGGTCCATTATTTATTTTGCGGGCCGATTATCACCTTTCGGCCCTCTCCTGCCTTGTATTAACCTCTTAATATACAGTGTATATATGGAGTTTAGATGTGCAGTAATATAATCACGAGATTAAAATCGTTCTAGCCTCAGTGTTTCTAATATTAACGTTCTTTAAAATTTATAGACGGTTTTTGCACTCATTCAATTTATACTCTGTTTATCACATACCCATGCTGCGTTTGCCTTTAAAGAACGTTAATATTAGAAACACTTTATCACAGGAATTGAATCTTATTTTTTTATTTAAATTATCTTTTTATTATTTTATTTTTTTGTTCGCCAGTGTTATCCAGTTGATCCCATTATGAACTTCTAAAACTGCTAGCATAAATGTGTACGCAGTATCATGATTTTTTGAGAGTTTACGCGGTATCATAATGATGTCTTTTTCCAGTAAAAAGTTCGTTTTTAAGACAGTTTTCGTACAAAGATTGAAAATATATATTTATGAACCAGGTTCTACAATAAAATATTTTGCAACTGTGTGAAACTTTCAGTTTAATTGAAAATTTCTCAATTTCTGTAACATTTCAACGCCGGGTGTAAAAGATCGCATCCAACGCGAAATACTGACGAGAAAGTCAAGGCATTTAGAAGTAAGGACATCTTCTTTGCAAAAGAAATTAAATTCAAATCTATTCTGATTGCTTTACATGACTCGTTTTTGTTCAAAATACCGGTGGAAAAGTGTTCGCGGTATCAGAATTTTAGCGCGCGCTTGGTACATGACCCCCTTGAAAATGTTTTCCGAAGAAAGATGTTTCAATATCGAGCAATGAAATCTTTCCGTCCTCTATATTTCCCAACTGAAAAAAAAAGAAAAAAAAAACATGCGCGCGAAAAGTGACGTAGTTCATGCATATTTATAAGGCCACCATTTAGAAAGCGAACTTGTAGTGACGTAATAATTAATTTGAATATTAATGAGGCCAAATAAAGCTTGACACTATGATAAGTATCGTTCCCGTCGAAGTTTCTAATTTCTGTAGAACAGCACGGAAGACACTTGTAGTTAACATATACTTAGATAGGGTTAAAAGTTTACTTATCTAAAAAGGGCAATAAAGTAATAAATTAACTTTAGTTAACTAAGATCTATATACTGTATATGGGTAATTACATTTTCTTTTCAGTTAGGCGGCAGTGCAATATAATTTATATAATTCATTATTGTATAATTGTACTTTTGTTTAGTACAGTGTACCAGGGGAAGTAACAATAGCACTACCACAAAAAAAAATTATGTGTATTTAGGTGTAAACATGACAGGCTGTGTATTCAGATTACACCCGAGTAGTACATTTATCAGAATTACATATTAAACAGTATTTGTAGCATAATGTACTGATATCTATTCAAAATACACAGTCAGTTCACATTCAAACAGACGGTCGGAAATTTAATAGATTTAATCCACCGTAGATCTAATTTCACAGGTAAACGTTTTATATACATAATTATATCTATAGATATATATATAATAAAATAGGGTTTTTGTTTAAACTTTCGATTTACAGATATTTAACAAATCAACCACTATGACCATGTATTTATTATCTCTATCGTATATATAACTTGAAGTGCATGATGTCGTATTTACTTTATAATATTATTTCGATTAAAAACGAAACCAACTCGAAGTGGTATTTTTTTTTAGTAAATATAAACCTTAATCATTTGAATACTAAATGTATTGACCTTTAACCATCTGGGGCCCTCATTTCGCGAGTTTTAATATCCCAGATAAATATATATTTTCTTTTTTTTTTCTTTAAAAAAAAACTACTTAAAAGAAGATAACCATTTCTATACTTTGCTTAATTTCTTCTTCTCAGTAACCTAATAACTGTAACTATGATATAAATGTAAAGGCACTATATAGCCAAATTTCTTTGTTGTTAGATGTCTATATTATCGTAGTTTTTAACAACCAAACATTAAATTTGACAATTCCAACGTTAAGTCTGAATCTATTCCTTGGTGCATTGGTGACACACATCCTATGACATCAACACCTGAAAGGTTGTCCAGTGGCATCAAAGACGTAGCAGTGTGCTCTCTACATGCTCTAGTCCTACAGACGACCAAGGTTTCATGTTTCATGACATCACCTTTGTAGAAGGTGAAGACGGGTCACCGACACTTGCTTGTGTAGAGCCTCAACCAGTCATCAATGATGTTGAGATAGCTGATGTAATAGTACAGAATGCCCCCGTCCGCCTGAACTGGCTTTTGCAGCGATTGAGATGACACTTGCACCAAAGAAAAAGAGGCGTTTCCATGAATAATTGAACTTTAATATTGACTTGCCAGATGACAGAATCTATCAAACGTGGAAGGTTTTGAAGAAAAAGGATGTTGCCCTCGGACCAATTAAACAAGAAAATGAAATACTTTTCGCTAGACAACTAGAAAGGGTTGTCTCTGAAAGCAAGACGGCCAAGTCATGTATACAGCAGAAATCGCATCAAGAGACGATTAAATTGCACCCACTCGTGAAAGCAAGGCTAATTTCAGAAGATCTTCCATATGTCTACTGGTCACGCCAACTTTTGATGCTAATTGCAAAACTGCTCCGGGTTCTAACGACAAATGAAGTCGAAGAAGAACTGATTGAACATGATAACATAAAAAGGAAAAGGAAGAAAAATCCAGAAATAACAAGCTGAAAAGGATAGAAAGAAAGGTAGCATTAGAGGCGAAAAAGGAGAGAAACGTAAGAAGAAAGAAATCTGCCAGTGCCATAAGTTTTATAGAAAAGCAGAGGCAGGAACTGGTCAAGACAAGAAAGGAAAAAGGTGCTCAGATAACGGAATTTACATTTATTAGACACATAGAAAATATGAATTTAAACTGGAACATTCAGGACTGATACAAGGCTAATGTAGATGAAAATGAAAGCTTCACTTACTTTAGTATTATGAATGTACTACAAAAGCTTAATGTTAAGATGGCATAGAGGAAGAATGTGTAACATTATCTAAATCTCTTGGCTACGGTATAGTTATCTCTTGATCACGAGGTATTACATCGTGCATGGGTCCGACATATTTATCGCGTGACCACGAGATAAAAACAATCTTATACACGTCACTTATATGTCACTGTATAATGTAATATAAGTCGAACACGATAACGTTTACATTAATTGGTCAACCCATTATAATATAATGGGTTGTGCAAGTTATTCAGTTATTACATTTTGCACTTTTACTGCAATAAAGAAGAATTGAATTAGATATAGAAACGTAAATCAGAGTAGCTTAGTGGTTAGAGAGTATGTATGACGAGTGTATATTAAGAAAATGCTTTTTTTTCGAGTTCAAATCTGGAATTGTGCAATTTTTTTTATGTCTGTATGGTTTTTACTTTTAGAAAACATTTTCATATTCTCTTTTATAAACCTGTGATTAATTTAATACCTTGTACAATTTAAAGTTAAACTTATAACGATTTAGCAAAATTGAATGTATTTACATTTTAACAGTCATCAAACAGATTGAAAAGTATTGTCAATTTAATTCTATTTAAAATTCAATTCTGAATTCAATTTGCTACAGTTTTTAACAATTTCGGCTCATTTGTATATCTATATCTATATATTTAAATTTCTTTCATTCTACATTTATCACTATAGTTACGACTGTGTTGCCCCCAAAAGCAATTGTGTTAAAACTAAATGTTCTCAAACAGTATTGTCCTGAAATCCAGTTCTTTGAAAAATATCTAAAATCAAAAAAGAACAGAAAAGAAAAAAAGCCTTTTCCAAGAATCGAACCACGGTCTCAACACTGACGAAGCCGACACTCAACGACTACGTCATTACGCTGAACGGTTAAAAAATGAGTAATTGTTTAGGTAGTTAAAGATTTAGGCGATAAATAGTATGATTTTATATAAGAATTATCGACACCCCTTTTTGTCAATATTGATGTTAACAGATAATGAAAGGAATAGCGAATTCGAGCTGTACTTAAACCAATTTATTAATTTCAATTTATTTCAAAGGTTTGTTTGTTAAAACCTAAGAAAATTTTTCTGAAGTTATGAACTAATGACCGTACTTTCTTGTTATTAATACCATTACTCTATTACCTGCTGCATGAATTTTACAAACGAATCATTGTTAGCTGGCAAATGTACCGTTTGTGTAAATTGATAGTTATAACTTATATCGTAACATGTGGATGTTGTTTAACGCATTAAATACGAATTTCGATCATTACAGTGCGTTTGCTTACTGTTTATAGGTTTTATTTTGAGATTTATATAAACATACAGCAATTGACGAGTTAAGGATCTTACTGACGACCTGCTGTTACTGGTACTGACGTTTTATTGTTGTTCTACCCTGTTACTCGTCACCGGTACCCTACCTCATTTAGAGGGCATTTGTGACAAGTTTCTTTATGAAAGGTTGAAAAAGTAACAGAAAGGGTGCAGGTTTATTTTTAGACAAAATATGAAATAGATATTTGTCACATTCCCCGTTTGGAGCCAAATTTGTAGATAAAAGCGACGACTTACGGTTCTTTTACGTGCCTTTATTTATATTTTATCGAAAATAATAACATTGGCAGTTTTCGCGGTAACAAAACTGTACTTTCACTTCGTCGAATAGCTGTGATATGAAAGGTGCCCAGTCGCATTGATTTTTAGCTTTTCATTTTTTTGTCTCAGGTTACTGTACATTTAAGTTCTCTTTGGCCGCCGTATGTACATAATGGCCTACTTTTAGCTCAAAATTCATATCTTTCATGAACTTGCATGGAGGTATATCATAACAACTTTGTGTCTTTAATTAAGGCATGACTGGTGACATGTCCGGGGTCTGTACTCGACAGCGAAAGTTGCTTTTTGTGCCTTATTAACGGGCGAATGGACCCTCATTTAAAGCACAGGCTACATACATGTATATACATAAGATTTGACCTTTTTTATGATAATAAAAATCGAAACATCATAATAGCTTAATCGTTTAAAAAAGTACTTTTTATACTTTTTGAATTTTCTCAAATTTCCCAAAATGCCTATAATTATTCCCGGAATTTGAGTCAGTGGCCTTTTCCCAGAATAGCCTATATAAAAAGTATTGCTAGGGTATTTTATTTATCTCAGAGTATTTAAATAACCTTATAAAGCTTGCAACAAAACTGAACTTAAGATAAATTCGCATTTCAAAAAATAAATTCGTTTAAATTAAATCAAGTGATATAAAATACTATTAAAACTTCGATAAACCGTTTTGTGCCCCATGTTTTTCCCCATAAGACATGTCTGTTATAAAAAGTAATACAACTTTAATCTAAAATACTTAATTTATTTCAGGTTTTATTATTTCCTTTATTGTTCTCTATAAATACTTCTCTTCTATCAAATGGAATCTCTATCCTTCACATTTTTTTTATTTTATTTTATCTTTTATTTTCCAGAAAAGCAATCCCATAATATTGTTATTGTAATGATGTCTGGGTATAAGTTTGACCATAAGTTCCGAGGTACGGCTCTAATAATCGGAAATGAGTTTAAAGGCCAAGGTTTAAACGAGAGGAAGGGATGTCTAAAAGACGTCGAGATGGCGCAAGAGCTTTTTAAAAGACTGGACTTTAATGTGACATCATTCAAGAACTTATCTGCCGTCGATATGAAAAAGAAAATGGAGATAGGTTGTCATAATTTTATATTCTTTTTTTTTACATAAACAGTTCTATTCTTATTTGTGCAATGTGTCAAATTGCTAAAAATCATAAATTTCCAGCAGTCGTGTTTTTAAATGATATATCTTGTTTAGCACATTTATGTAAATATCACATCCCAATTTGGATGACAGTATATAAATAACACATGGGTTGATTGGTAACAGTAAAATATCATCCCGAGGAAAACACTGTTACCTGAGGCGTAAGCCGAGGGTAACATTATTTTTACAAGGGATGATATTTTTACTTTTACTCACAAACCCATGTTTTATTTATTTTATTATCCCGAACAGTAACTGTGATGAATTTTTGTGATGATTTTATTTTATTTTTTTGTATTTAGAAAATAGGCCATGTGACCAAATTTTATACTGTTAAAAATACTATTACCCTGTAACAGTACACATTTCTTAGTCACATGGTACAATGAATAGATTCCTGAATTGTCTCAGTAATAGTTTTAGTACATGAAACGAGTTAGTTACGAGGATGGGCAACATCAAGGGGTGTTTCTGCTAAAAAAAAAATGTCGAGGCCGTGAGGCCGAGAAATTTTTTTTTGCAGAAACATCCCGAGATGTCGCCCAATCCAGTGTTATACCCCGGTAACTAACAAGTTTCATATATACTTAAACTGTTATATAGCAATGACATAATGTTTTTTTTTGTAATAAAAATAAATCAATAATTAAATAAATAAATAATTTTTTTAAATAAATCGTTAGCTACATTACAGTTATTCGTGATAATTAAGGCAGTTTTTTCAAGTTGTTTTTGCTGCCGCAAAATAAAAGATATACAAGTGACATCCAATGTTAGAGGCGGATTGTAAACTGTTACCAATATTGATTCAAGATTAAAGGGATTTTTTCAGTGGAAATAATTAATTCAGCGGATGTACCTTTTTGATTAAATGAGAGTAAATTTAATTTCATTAATTATCTTTGTTTATAATTTTCATTGTATTTATTTATTTCATTTTATTTTATTGATTCCATTTTATTTTGCTACTGGGACTGTTCGTTACTCACTCTATGTCGTGAGTAAAACAATTATTCACTTATCCCATGTTATAATCTTACTAGAAAGAAACCAAAACAACAGAATAGGATTTAGGCATTGTATTTGACAACTTTCAACAAATAAATGCAAGTAGTTTGGATCGTGTTAAAATCTCTTCAGGTATACAGTTCCATTGGAACCTGTAGATAGTATCTTGTATAGCTGAATTCGGAAAGCCATATGCATATTTGTCCAACGATAAACCTGAAAAATACTAAAACTATATTAATAATTATAAATGAAAACATAATTTTTTATAACGATACTCTGAAAACCACTAAATAGCATCCTTTCTTAGAAACTGGGAGGGCGGGAAGAGGGAATAACTATAACTCTAAAGAACGTGTTTAAAGCTGTCAAATACTGCCTCGAGTGAGAAACAATAGTAAAACACCGAATATATACCTACACACTGGTACAAACCACAACACGTGAAAACCGTGCAATGTAATATAATATGCATGAAACAAAATATGTTGTAGACTTATCGAAGCATAAACTAAACTACGGACTGGAATGAAATAACAATGGGAAACGTGAATAATTTTATTTACTCACTCTATGTCGTGAGTAAAACAATTATTCACTTATCCCATGTTATAATCTTACTAGAAAGAAACCAAAACAACAGAATAGGATTTAGGCATTGTATTTGACAACTTTCAATCGAGCAAAACAAAGAAAGCATTTATATAAACATTTTAAAGAACTGTATTTATAAATTTAAAACACGAAACCATATTAAATAAAAAATAAAATAAAACCTGCGCTATTAGACTTGATTCAGATTAGATTATTAGAAACCAATTAAAAACAAATAAAGTGTGAAAATTATAAATCCAAAACAATAAAAGCAAAACAAAACAATATTCTTTGAAGTTTTACTTAAAATAATAAAAATAATAATAATAATAATAATAATTATAATATAGTTGAAAATAATACTTATCTATAGAAAGCTATGTTTTGTCCTGGAATGATGAACTTTTAATCGTTTAGACGAAAGCAAAGCAATTGATATGCCTTTTGGTTTTGGCTGCATTTACGGATTCTGAAATAAAACAATGAGCTTTCTCAACATAACTAAACAAATGGGTGAGCTATCTCAGCATCACAAATAAAAAACGGTGAGCTATCTCAGCATCACAAAATAAATCAGTCAGCTATCTCAGAATCACACAATAAATCAGTGAGCTATCTCAGAATCACACAATAAATCAGTGAGCTATCTCAGAATCACAAATAAAACGGCGAGCTATCACAACATCACAATAATCATTGAGCTATCTCAGAATCACAAAACAAATCAGTGAGCTATCTCAACATCACAAAATAAATCAGTGAGCTATCTCAGCATCACAACAACAAAAAATAAAAAAGTCGGTGAGCTATCTCAGCATCACAAAACAAATCGGTGAGCTATCTCAGCATCACAAAACAAATCAGTGAGCTATCTCAGCATCACAAAACAAATCGGTGAGCTATCTCAGCATCACAAAATAAATCGGTGAGCTATCTCAGCATCAGAAAACAATTCGGTGAGCTATCTCACCATCACGATAAAATTGGTAAGCTATCTCAGCATTAAATCAACTGTGAAAATAAATACTTATCTGCAAATTTGTGTGCTGGAGAAGATTGCAAGCATTTTGTATTTCATCCATGACGATAAGTCGTTACCAAGAATTGAAATCAAAAGCCCTTTGTAACTTTGCAAACACAATAGATCTTCCCATTCTCATGACAAACGTCAAAACCCCATGTCAATCATCGTATGAAGCTATAAAACAAAACACAAAAAATAAACAACAACGACAAAGTATAAGTTGATCACCTGAAAAATTCTAACAAACAATTTTATATTCCACGATTTAAAACTGAAAAGTGAAGCCTTTGCAGCAAAATTAAATTATCTCAATAACTATGTACGCTCATTAACTGATGTAGAAATAAATATATTTAATATAAACAAACATAACAGAATATGTATAATAATTAACAATTGAAATAATGATATCAGATGAATAATTATTTTTTTTAAAATAATAGTTATCTTTAAATAGTTTAATTATATCTGTTGTCTGTATGAAGCCTTGTCAAATCACACCAATGATTTACTCATGATAAATGTATATAACACTTACACAAAATAAGATTATAAACTAGTATTTATTTCCACAATTAAATCAATCATTGACTGAATATAATCACAAGCATATAATCACTTCATATTATGAAAAGTTATTCAACATAAAGCTGCACGAAATCATTAAATGTTAAGATTTAGTGACACAGACAAACGTTGTTTCAAACTGTCTTTAACATATCCATCTTTAGCTGTCTCTGAACGCCAACGTCCATGTTTTTTCCACAGTCTATCATTAGTACCAGAATTAGCACAAATAGTAGCTCCACCTGACCTTAGTGAATGCAAACCGTATTGGTGACTATCTAGTCCTATTGAAGTAAGTTTTTGATTAAAAAGTTCCCGTGTTCTCGAGTAAGAAAGTGGAGCATTTTTACGTTTTAATACATATTTGTTAGACTTTTTACACAACACTACAGCTCTAAAAATAAACTGATCATAACATTCCATCAAACCAGCCTCTGTAATATATCTATGTAATAATTGCACCGGGCATGAAAACTTTCCAGTTTTTGCCAAAACTACATAATTTCCTTCTCTATATACATCTGTTTTGGCATTTTCAATATATAATGAACAATGATCATCTTTGAAATCAATATGACAACGTTTTAAATAAAGACCTTCTGAAATTCTTAGAAAACCAGCAAAACAAATCACAAACAATGTAACAATTCTTAAATCTGCCAATGAACACTTTTCAGAAACAAAACGTTTAATGAGTAATTTCAGCACATCAGGAGTATTAGGCTCTTTTTCTGTACAAGCCTCGAAATCTTTCTTATACAGCCTTCTAAACATAATTTAAGCCATCTATCTTGACAAGGATTTTCTTTAAAATACGCAGTTTCATGCGCCCAATTTATAGCATAGAAATTTTGATTTAACTTAGATTTCCCGCATGAATATGTATTCATCTGAATAAGCGAAACTAAATAAAGCGCGATTGTGACAGGCAAAGCTGGTAAAGAAGATAACTTGCATTTATCGCACCAATTACAAAATTTTTCAAAAGCATACATATAATTTTTCACTGTACTATGTTCTCTGCTACCCAAAATAGTGTGTTTTACTTCTGAAACAACGGACATCGGAAGACCAGAACTGTTGCATGTGTCTGTTAAGTCTTTCCATCTACATGAATCAAACAAGCCTGCAAATTGACAAAAAATACAAAGGTAAAAACAAGAGAAGATAATAAACGAGTGTAAAATTAAAACCCATTTTACAGTTATCTCCCCTACAATATTGATTTACAATCAAAGCGTATAACAAGCACTTTACTAGTGAAATGTTCCGTACCAAAAATTGAATTTTTATTCTTTCCTTGTACGTAAATGCGCTGTGTGGGCTTAAATAAAAGAATATCTTTAATAAAATGCTTTTGAATTGAAGTTTGTCCAAAAATCATAGGATAAAATGGACTAGACGGCCAAAAAGGCGCGACAAGGGTACCCTGACTTTGGCACTCAACAAGATGATTTATTGCCTTTGGAATCATAACAACTGGAGGTACTAACCAGTTATTTTCAGATGACCAGTCTTGCATGAATGCATCAACATTTTCAGAAGAAGGAGTCCAATAAAGGGAATTAAATCTTGGCAACTTAGTATTGTAGTCGTTAGCAAACCTGTCAACAGTATGAGGCCCATACATGGAATTTACTAAATCAAAAAACTCGTCGGACACACTATAATCATCTACATCTACCATTTTACTGTATTCATCAGCAAGTTTATTCAAATCTCTTTTGACCCAT